AAAAAAAAAAAAAAAAAAAGAACAGCTTTTATTTTAACTATTGTTAAACTCGGCCTAATTCTGTTATTATTCTTAATAAAATAAAAAGAAGATAGAAAACTTAAGGATAACAACCCTTGCTTCTGAATTTTTAACCTGAGTTGAGGTTAAAAATTGCTTCTGTTTGCTGCGGCTTTATGTGGCTCTTTGTGTTATTTATGGAGGGGTTAGATTATTCACTTGAGACATTTTCTGTTTGTTGCTGGGTTTATATAGTGCTATAAATTTCCCTCCTACCACTGCTTTAGCCGTATCCCACAGATTTTGATATGTTATATTTTACTTTTTATTTAATTCAGTAAATCTTTTGATTTTTTATTCTCTGGGTCACTTAGAATGTTGTTTAGTTTTTGCATGTTTGGAGATTTTCCTGTTACTTTTCTGTTGTTGATTTCTAGTTTATTTCTGTTGTCCTCAGAGAAAATACTTTACACAATTTCAGTTCCTTAAATTTGTTTAGATTTGTTTTGTGGCCCAGGATATAGTCTCTCTTGGTAAATGTTCAGCAGGCATTTGAAAATAATGTGTTCTGCTATCATTGGTAGAATCTTCTAAAAATATGTATTAGATCTTATCTCTTGATGTTATTGTTACATTCTACTGTATTCCTGCTAATGTTTTTTTAGATGTATCATTTACTAAAGAGACTTGTACTGGGATTTGCCTGTTTTTATTTCCGCTCTATAGTTTTTGCTGTATGTATTTTAAGAGCTTTGTTGATTAGTGTATTCACACTTATTTCTGTCATGTTTGTATATTGACTGTTTCATCGTTATGTAATGTCCCTCCCTATTCCTGCAAATTTTCCTTGATAATGAAGTTTTCTTTATCAATACTAGTATACTTATTCCTCTTTGTTCTTCCATGATATAAATTTTCTATCCTTCTGCTTTCTACTTGGCTTTATTATATTTGAGGAATTGCTTTGTTTGTTTGTGTGTTTGTTTTTTGAGAGTCTTGCTATGTAGTTCAGGCTAGCTTTGAATTCACTCTATCCCAGGCTGGTTTCCAACTCACAATGAGCCTTCTGCCTCAGCTTCCTGAGTGGTCAGATTACAGGCAAGAGACACCACACCTGGTGAGGAATTTTGCCTCTATACTTTTATAATATTGTTTTACTTTCCGTGTTTATTGACATGAAGTCATGAGAGATCAATTCTCTTAAGTATGAATACCATCCATTTTAAATACTGTTTCTTTTTTTATTACTATTTTGTTTACTCCATTTTCATACTGCCTACTCTCTTCATTCAAAAACCCCAAATACTTGTGTTTCTTCTTAGTTTTGTTTCTTCTATATATTGTCTTTAAGGCAGAAGTTTTGTGGATTTTAAACTGTGAATCATAGAATGCTTAAAAATATTTTTGGCTATTTTTCTCCAACATGAGTATTAATTTTCTGAGTGTAAAAGTCTATGTTTCAAGTATTTTCTGTCAGATCTTTGGAGTTACAGCTTTATTGTCATTCAACATCTGGTAGTGATGTCAGTCTGAGTTCTATAGTTTTCTTCCTCATCTCATTCTTTCTTACAAAGAAAGATCAGTAAAATTTAAAGACCCTCCATCACCTCCTAAAAAAGAAAGAAAATCAACAAAGGAGCAAAAGCTAGTTACCTGAAAGATCAATACTATGATAAGTCTCTAGCAAGATTAACAAAGAAAGAAAACATACATTACCAAAATTTAACCTGAGATGAGGTTAAAAATTGCTTGGATCAGAAGATACCACCCAGATCTCGCAAGCATCAAAATACTATTACTAAAAATGAGAACCAACACCTGTCATGTAAAGGTACAAGATCCCAATAATGAATGTAACTGTACTGTATACCTAAAAAGTACCAATAAACTCAAGGAGGAAAAAAAATAGTATTACAAACTTATACATAAGTTCAATAATTTGACACAAAATGGACCAATGCTTCAATAAAGACCAAATACTAAAATTTAATATAAAAATAATTTAAACAGCCCTGTAACTATTTTAAATTTTGAAGACATAATTTTTAAACTCCTTCAACAGAATCTTTAGATTGAAATGGTACAACTGGAAAATTCTACCAAAAGTTTAAAGAAAAAATCAGAGCCACTTACAGTCTTCTAGGAAGTAAAAGAGAACAATTCTCAATTAATTTTATGGAGTCAGTATTCTCTTGATGGAAAATAGACAAAGGCACAAAATAGAAAAACTACAAAGCAATGTCATGAATATGGACACAAAAATCCTGAACAATATATAAGGAACTAGAATTCCACAATACATAAAAGAAATGCATAAAATTACCTACTTGGTTTTATTTCCAAGTTGCAATAAGGTTTATCTAATAATTCAATGATCCATCGATGTTAACCATAATAGTAAGATAATAAGGAATGACCTCTAAAATTAATGCAGAAAATTTTACATTTGACAAAACTCACCACCCATGATAAAATTTCAAAATCTAGAAATAAAGGCAACTTTCCTCAACATGAAAAAAGAAGGTCTCTATCAAAGTGTGCGGGGGGGGGGGTCCTACAGATAATATACTTAATTAATGGTTGAAGGCTAGATGCTGCTCCCCCAAATCAGGAACAAAGCAAGGAAGGATGTCTACTCTCAACACTTACTCAACATAATGTGCTGGGAGTCCTAGCCAATGCAATGAAGTGAAGGGAGGGAGATACAGAAAGACATAAAATTATTCTATTACTCTAGTATTTGCATATGACATATCTATGGGGAAAATCCCAAGCAATCTACAGAGCACTCTTTGAACAAATAAATGAGTTTAATAAGGTCACAGGATATATCAACATACAAAATTTAATCTTATTTGTATACACTAGGAATGAGTGCGTGGAATGAAATTTAAAATATAATTCCATGTGACTGCAAAACAAAAAATGAAAACAAGTATAAACCTAATAAAACATATACTCTACTTCTTTTAACTATAAAATGTTGATGAAAATATCAAAGCTCTAAATAAATAAATTGGAGCAATATAGAGAGCCAGGTCGGAGGACACAATATACTACAGTTTTCAAGTCTCCAAGCTGATGCTTAATGTAACTGATGCTTAATGTAATTTCTATCAAAAGCCTGATAATTTTTGTAAGGAATAGTAAAAACAAATTTGAAAAAATAAAAATAATATGGGAATAACACTACTCCCACTTCAAAAAGTAACAAAGTAGGAGTCCCACTCCCAGATGTTATGATTTACTCTATAACTACAGTAATCAACATTATACGACAATAACAAAAGAGACACAGTTAAAATAAATTAGAATTCTCAACTGATTTTTAATGAAAGAGTAAACTGATTTTTAATGAAAGTGCAAAAGCAATTCAATGAAGATGGTAATTTTAACAAATACAAAAAAATAAACTTCAACCTACACCTCACACTTCAAATGAAAAATTACTAATTGGATCAGATTTAAATGTAAAAACTAAAACTGCAAGACTTTTGAAAGCAAACAAGAAAAATCTTCAGGACCTAGGTTTGAAGAAGTGTTCTTAGATGTGATATCAAAAGCATAATTCATAAAAGAAAAAAATTGACAAAATGAGTATTTCACTAAAATTTAAAACTTCTGATGTGCAAAAGACACTAAGAACACAAAAGCATAAGCTACAGATTGAAAAAAAAGTTTATAAACCACTCATCTAACAAAGGACTAGTACCTAAAATATATAATGAATTCTTAAAACTCAACAGTAAAATAATAATAATGATAATAATAAAACTAATTAGAAAATGACCTAAAATTATAGGCATTTCACAAATAAGATTGACAATGCAACATATAAAAAGAGGCTGAATATCATTAGCTATTAGAAAAATGTAAATTAAGGCCAGAATGGGATATCACTCTACACCTATTTGAATGGCTAAACTAAAAACCTAATGACAGTTTGAAAGATACAGAGAAACTGGATCTTGGATAAAAATCTAAAATAAACACAGCCCTCGACATATGGAGGTTCTACATCCATAGATTCAACCAATCATGAGGTAAAAATATTCAGAAAAAAAATGTACTGAACATGTATATTATCCAAATTTACAGTATTTTTTCTTGTTAGTATCTAAAATTATAGCACTATAATTATTTTCATAACATTTATACTATAGTAGGTGTAAGTAACCTACAGACGATTTAAAGTTAAAATTCATACACAGGGAGACATGTACAGGACATATGCAAATACTATGTCCCTTTATATAAGGAACTTGGGCATC